TTCTGCTCATGTTTTTCCGGCCTCAGGCCATTATCGAGTACGTATTGTTGTTACTTGTTCACTGCAGCTCGGATGCTGGTCGGCTGTCGATTCGAGCGGCTGTCGCTGTCTGCGGCCTGGTTGGCTCTGGCTGGCTTCAGCAGGAGGGGTGCTGCGGTTTCGGCACGAGGCGCTAAGGAGAATCTGAATGTTGGCACAATTGGACACGTTGACCACGGAAAGACCACGCTCACCGCTGCCATAACACGTGTGCTTTCCACCAAAGGTTTGTCGCTAAATTCGTATGCAAGAGCGCGTTTAACTCGTTCTCTGGTTCCTGCTGGCAGTTTTTTGTGTTCGACATTGTGCATCGCGCAGCTTGCTGCTGGTCGTAATGTTCGTTGTATCTCCAGAAGGATTAACCATCCCATTGTTTTCGTAACAGAAACACATGGCGAGTTTTACAGATATCTTTTTCACGCATTTTTGGATATTTACGCAAATGCAAAAACGCATATTGTGACGACTCATGCTGTGTTTGCATATGTGTCCAGGTATTTCAGCTCACCACCCAAAAGAAATGCTGAAATTTTGCCATTGTGTTCCCGGGGAATTGCTATCCCAGAAATGTGATCCCAACTTCCACACACATTTGAAGCGTACATGTGGGTGCTTTAAAGTTATAGCCGGGAAATTGCTAACTCGGAAACCAGAAAAGCTGAAAGGCTGATATTTTAAGGGATTGCCCCCCATTCTTCCTTTTCGATATTTCTAAATATTTTTTTTTTTTTTGTTGAACATCATCGCATCCCAAATACTGTCACAGTTACGTCGCGATGAGGTATCTTGCCGCTGAATTCGCACCATGGAATAATTATTTGTTTAATTCGGTACCCTATTCATCGATCGCCAATGCTAGTGTGACTCTTTGAAAGTTTTATCTTCTTTTCTTTGCTACTCCCAACTCGATGCACTGCTTTTGTTTGAATTCTCGGATTTTTTACTCGTTTCGATCTTCATTTTATTGTTTGAGGTTTAAATGCTGTTGTGCCGTAGCTTCATCCAGTTCTGTTGCTATAAATTTTAGCTTTCAGGAAAGACAAAATTCGTGAAATTTGAAGAAATTGACAAGGCAAAGGAGGAACAAAAGCGTGGCATAACGATAAATATAGCCCACGTGGGCTACGAAAGTTCTTTGCGTCGATATGCGCACACCGATTGCCCCGGACACAGTGATTTCATTAAAAATATGATATGTGGAGCCACGCAAATGGATGTCGCCATTTTGGGTAATTTTTAAAAAGATTAATTTTGAAAAATGCGGCGCTCTCCAATCACCTTGATTATCAGGGCTTCTCTGGCAAACTTTTCGGGCTTCAATGCTGTTACTGGTAAGCGCACATGCAACAAGTGCAGCTTTGCATGGGTTTTTTGATTCAGAAAAAGTGAGTGCAAGAAAGCATGGCAGGCCTGCCATTTGTTTGCGCTGTGGTTAACATCTTCTGTGATTTCGTTTGTTTCTAAGTTATATGTTGGGATTTGTGGATTTCCTGCTTATTCAGTTTGTTAAAGTTATTTTTCAAGTGGCATTCCTCAGGATAACTAGCTCCGAGATCATTTTTATGCGTTTTGTGCTGTGTAACAGCAGTACAAAACGCATATTGTTACGGGGTTGTCTGTGTGTGTGCGTATTTGTGTGTGTGTGTCCCACATTTTGTCCCGCACTTTCAATTCGGGAACCACAAAAGTTAGGCGGCTGAAATTTTGGTATAGTGTTCCCCGCCAACGG